TTACACGTGTGCGTGTCCCGTGTCACGCGTGTTACCTGGGGATCCTCCGTGTCCCGCAGCACGTGTCCCTGCCGGTCCATGACGCGGTACACGGGGATCCCGGCCAGCACCTGGGGCTGGATGAACTCCAGGCGCTCCGAGAACGCGGCCGAGGCGCCCGGGAACTGCGGCCGCTCCTCGGGGGGCTCCTGGGGTCACGCGGGGGTCACGGGGTCACGAAGGGGTCACGCAGGGGTCACGGGGTCACGCAGGGGTCAGGGGGTCACACAGGGGTCACGGGGACACCGAGGCGCCCGGGAACTGCGGCCGCTCCTCGGGGGGCTCCCGCGGGGGTCAGGGGGTCACACAGGGGTCACGGGGTCACACAGGGGTCAAGGGGTCACACAGGGGTCATGGGGACACACGGGGGTCACAGGGTCACGCAGGGGTCACGGGGTCACGCGGGGGTCACACAGGGGTCACGGGGTCACACGGGGGTCAGGGGGTCACACAGGGGTCACAGGGTCACGCAGGGGTCATGGGGTCACGCGGGGGTCACACAGGGGTCACACGGGGGTCCCCTCATTGTCCCCTCCCTTTCCCCCCTTTTTGCCCCTTGTTGTCGCTTTTTTGTCTCTTTTTCCCCTTTCTTTCCCCTTTTTGTCCCTTTTCCCCCCTTTTTGTCCCTTTCTGTCCCAGTTTGTCCCCTTTTTATCCCTTTTTCCCCATTTGTCCCAGTTTTTCCCTTTTCCTCCCATTTTTTCCCATTTTTCCCCCTTTTTGTCCCCCTGTTCTTCCCCCTTTTTCTCATTTTTCCACCTTTTTGTCCCCATTTTTCCCCTTTTTGTCCCATTTTCTCCCAGTTTATCCCGTTTTTCCCCTTTTTTCCCCCTTTTTCTCCCTGTTTTCCCCCATTTTCTCCCGTTTTTCCCCATTTTTATCCCGTTTTATCCCGGTTTTATGCCGTTTTATCCCAGTCTTATCCCGTTTTATCCCGTTTTAACCCAGTTTTCCCCCGTTTTCTCCCGTTTTCTCCCGTTTCTATCCCGTTTTATCCCAGTTTTCCCCCGTTTTCTCCCGTTTTATCCCAGTTTTATCCCGTTTTATCCCGTTTTATCCCAGTTTTCCCCCGTTTTCTCCCGTTTTATCCCGTTTTCTCCCGTTTTCTCCCGTTTTCTCCCAGTTTTCTCCCGTTTTCTCCCGTTTTATCCCGTTTTATCCCAGTTTTATCCCGTTTTATCCCGTTTCTATCCCGTTTTCTCCCGTTTTATCCCGTTTTATCCCAGTTTTATCCCAGTTTTATCCCGTTTTCCCCCGTTTTCCCCCGTTTTCTCCCGTTTTATCCCGTTTTCTCCCGTTTTCTCCCGTTTTTATCCCGTTTTCTCCCGTTTTCTCCCGTTTCTATCCCGTTTTATCCCGTTTTCTCCCGTTTTCTCCCGTTTTCTCCCGTTTTTATCCCGTTTTATCCCAGTCTTATCCCGTTTTATCCCAGTTTTATCCCAGTTTTCCCCCGTTTTCCCCCGTTTTCTCCCGTTTTCTCCCGTTTTCTCCCGTTTCTATCCCGTTTTCCCCCGTTTTCCCCGTTTTCCCCCGTTTTCCCCGTTTTTTCCCCAGTTTCCCGCGCTCACCGCCGTGCTCCGGAGCCGCCTCGGTGCGAGCCCCGGGAGGCGCCGCCACCGCAGCGCCCTCAGCGCCGCCATCTTGTCCCGCTGGGGAGGGGGCGTGGCCTCGCGCTGATTGGTCCGTCCAGGGGGCGGGAGGCGTTGGCCACGCCCCCCGACCGCCTTATAAGGAAGGCGTGGCCACGCCCACCGCGCGCCGCTCCGCGTTGGCCACGCCCACAAATCGCCATATAAGGAACCTTAGGGTGGCCACGCCCCTTGATTTACATAAAATGGAAATCTGGATGGCCACGCCCACTAATTACCATATATGGGTGGTGGTGATGGTGGCCACGCCCCTTGAGCGACATCGGGGAGGGGTCTCGTTCTGACCCGCCCCCAAATTCCCCAAATTCCCCCAAATTCCCCCAAATCCTCCCCAAATCCCC